TTGCTAAGTCCTAGATCCACCACTATATTGAGTAGTTGTTTTTGTAGTAGTCTTTCTTACAGATTGATGAACCGATAGGCCTGAATAACACACTTTCGTATATAAATTATTATGATGTGGAGCCAAAAACAGTTTTTAATTATATTTAATTGAATGCTAGTTGGGCTAAGCCTAGTTTGTCCGATCTGCCAACCTAGGCCTATGCCTAGGTAGGTGAACATGCCATTTGTAAGCCGGGACCCAGTAGTATTTTGTTACGTTTCTTCACAGAGGGGGGTTCGTCCACACCCCTTGAACCCCCTGGATCTGCCACTGAGGATTCTCCCTGCAAAATAATCGAGATAGTGTTATTTTATCACAAAATGAGATTTAAATGCTGCTAGAAATAAGAGATACAGTGAGCCTGAGTAATGCTGTTAAACTAACATGTGGCCGACTTTTGGGTAAGAAGACAATGTCATCTGTCCATGTCATTAAGGAACTTTAAAAAAAGCAAATTTGCTCAGAAATATCGAATCCAATCCAAATTTATGACTTCAAAGGCGCATCATTATATACAGCATTTCAAAATATGACCAAATTTTAATGAAAATGCTAATAAGCAGGGCATACAATTGCGTGTAAAATTCCTTTAAAAAATGATAAAATAATGAATATCAAATTCTATACCTAGGCCTATTATTTTCTCTATTTTAAATTTTCACAGTTAATGGTGAATGCTTCCTCAACATCTTTTTGCTATCCTTTGCTATCTATAGCAACTGTTGGTTCATATCACTAATTATATTTCAAATTAATGTCCTTGGAAAAAATATAAATTAGTACTGTATTATTAGATGAATCATATTAACGACTGACTACTGCAGTACAGTGAATGTGTTGACAATAGTAACTGGTGTCAGTTATTAGAAATAAACTCATTAGGTCTGTAAGTAAGTAAGTAAGTAACTTTATTGCTTCTCTTTTATAACAGAGGCACAGCCGTAAAGACGTGCAACAATAACAAAATCAGTAAAAACTTAATTACTGTGATAAAATATAGTAAGAAAATACTACGGTAGAACGAAATATAAATAAAAAAAGGGTTAGAATATTCATTGTTGTAAACTGTTTCTTGAGGGGATTATTCCATTATATTTTCTACCTTGAATATAATATGTTGGCTATAAACAACATTTAACTTTCTTCTAAATTATTAAGTATTAGCCATATTGATGACTATGCGTAGAACATGTTAGTCATTATGGATGTGTGTTTTTAGGGCGTGTTTGCTTAAGTGTTTTCTTTTTATTGATCGGTGTCAAAAACTAGACCGAATTGAAACCATAATAACATAGATTACTATAAAGGTATAGTCTAGTCCATTGTCCTATATTTTGTACTAAACTATACCATAGTGCAGGCGTGGGCATAAAAATGGGTCATATTGTTATTTAATATCAAGGGCTGACAGCAAACTTTCTATACAGTACTGCTGTGTGGTCACAAAACCTTCATACATTCATTATGCTAAATTTTACTCGGCATCAGGCTGTAACAACAATGGGTTTTCTAGCTAAAGATGGTAGGCGGGCCACACACATATAACTTTGAAATATATTCTCGTAAACCTGAAAAAAATTGCCATATGTGAAAATTTAGGACAATCAAGTTGACATTGTCAATAAAAAATGTCCTATTTAAAAAAAAATGTGATAAACAAATTGCAGACTACTAGTATTAATTTTCTTAAGATTTCTATGAAGTTAGCCAATGAGTTGTTGAATTTTTTTTGTGAATATTAAATGCACATACCCTATGGCTTATAATTTACTTTTGCAGGCCTGAACAAAAAATTGCCAAAAAGCTGCATGTAGCCCCATGGGCTGCACTTTGCTAACTTGTACCTTAGTTATTAATGTAGTATACAGTAGGCTACATCATGAATGATGAATACTGTATGCACATTAAATCTTGGACATTTTTTTTTTGACAGGTTTTCTTAAATTACAGTAGCTCTATCATTAACACATTTTTGTCTAAGAAATTTGATTATTTATTGAGCATATAAATGATCTATTTTATACAGAGTGTAGTATCTGTTTGGGCTTGTGCCTATTCTCACTCCAGACTATAATTGTTCTTGATGATTGCCAAATAATAATAATAATAATAATAATAATTATTATTATTATTATTATTATTATTATTATTGTTATTATTATTATTATTAATAATAATATTTATTTGGCAAAGTAAGAGTACAATCTTGCCAGGATAGGCACAAGCCCAAACAGTGAACTGCCCTTGCTTCATCATCATTATTATTATTATTATTATTATTATTAGCATAGTTGCAGTGGTGGTGTCAGCAGGGGAAGGGAGCTGTCCTGGGCCCCCTGTCATTGGATGCCATGACATGGTCGTTGAATCAATGATTATTTGCCTATCCAAATAACATTATTTTCATTGCTAAACATTAATATTGCTGTCAAAAAGCACAATTTGGGCTATACTAAGCCATAGAAATCTTCCTGTGAACCCAAACAGTGATTTTTATTCCGGACCCTAAGCAAGGCACTAGTCTTAGTTCGAACCTCCTGTCTTGGTTCGAACCTCCTGTCGGACATATCGGAGCCCCAGTTGACAAATTTCTGGAGCCACTGCTGCATAGTTGACCATTTGGGATACTCACACTGTGGGCCTAATGCAAATGTGCATGCTTGGAAAGTTTAAATTCATTAAACAATGTAAACATTGAGTATCAGCTATCAAGATAAGACATGCATTTATGATAGTATAATACATACACCAAGTATCAAATTGCATTGTGTCGGGATTCAATATTTCGACATTAATTATGTCATCATCAGGAATGAAAAATTATCCATATTTGCAAGCTTATATGCACAAGTACCAAAAGTGTTGACCAATCAAAACATTACCTAGGTGACATAGTTATGAATAAATTGAAGATCAAAGCATTCTTACCCTACTGATCAAAGCTACCTACTGGAACCTACAGTACAATAACAAAGAAAGCTCCTTTGAAGCTTTCAGGCATTTATGGTAGTGTAGGTATGGGCAGTGCAGCTAGTGCAAAGCACAGAGGTCTGTTTTAATAACAGCCCCAACAATTTTAGTAAAACAAAACATTACTACTTAATTTATAAAAGAAAAAGAAAAAAAACTGCAACAACCCTAAAAAATATTTAAGTCTTTAGGTGATAATGATAAAATGAAGATATATGTAATTAGCCCAGGCCTGGGAGTGGAGGTACAAAGTAATTCTAAAAACATGAAGCAATGCCTAGGAATTTAAATTTTTAATTTCAATTAAATAGAGCTTGCGAAAATCTAAAATATCAGAGCTTCCAGGGGTTCATCCCAGGAACCCTCAGGGGCTTTTCCTGCCCCCCCCCCCAATGGGATCCCCAGCCATACTGTACTTGTGCTGACTGTGACAGCGCTTGGTTAACTCTTCATGTCAAAGGGCCCAGGCAATTTGCATTAGGGCCCATCATCATCTACAGTGCAGTAGCTACTGTATGCCTTGTGGTTAAATAGAACAAGGAGCTATTATTGGTTTGTAAAAGATGTTTATTTTTAGAAGTTTTCATTTATGTGATGACGTTAAGATCTGTAGGACATAATTTAGTCATAATATGTAGTCATCTTCGCATATGACAACTTTCAGTTCTCATTGATATGGTTTTAGTCAATTCAGTGTTACAGAAAATTTTTTTCATTATCATCTCTTTTTTTATTTGTTACAATCCTTTTTATTAAGATTTTAAAGGTTGAATTTCCAAACACTAATTGCTGCGAAGCAGCCAATTCATATTCTTGACAGCAATTTGACCTCTGAAAGGTCATTGTTTGTCAAAAAACGAGTGGCTAAGACGACTGAAAAGCGGAGTTTCCTTCTTTCGTTCTGCCGGGTAAAATCATTTACTTTAGGCGACGTTTGTAGACTAACCTACTCGTACCAACGTCCGCATGTCGCGCTAGCCTTATCCTACTCTAGGCCTAGGATGGTATAGGCCTAGCCTTGAAGGGACGAAGGTCCCAATGAAAAACAACGTCGCTCTTTGATAGCTAACATTGTCTATTTAACATCACAATAATTCATTATTAGCCTATAGTTGTTTTTTGAATTGTACTCCACAAATCTCAGCCGATACCTCGCACAACTGGTTAACGTCTCTATTTATTGTCGTGACGTCATGGCTCGCTGGCTCACACTTGTGATATGTCTCGCACTTGTGATATGTCTCGCACTTGTGATCAAATATCACGCTGGCTCACACTTTGGCAACACTCTTTGGCAGTCAACTCACCCCTAGAAAACCCGCCCTTGGAAACTTGCCCCATAAAAAAATGTACACTTCCTAGACCATGCAGTCTTCAAAATAAAAATTGTTTGTAACCTTTGGTAATCAACTACATTTTCCACATACATAGAAATTTTTGAAACTTTATTAAAAAAAAAACCTA